AGGGGATGTCGTAGTGCGGCTGACTCATTACTTCTCAACTTTAAAATATTAGCCACTGGCTGTGATCACTTGGGAGTTTTCCACATAGATACAGCATATTTCATGGCATTCCATCCTGCCAGTGTAAGGACCTTGTCTACCAGAGCTACAGAAATACTTTCATGCACTCTTTAAGATGCACATCAAATGGGAAAAGCCTTTGCCCAGCAGAATAGATCTACTACGTCAGATAATTACTAGGTTAACTAACCCTCTGAGGTCTCTGTCTCATGGCATCTTGGACGGCTCTGCTGGGTCCGTTACCTTCACAGCTCGCCTTCCTCCCTGCCTGAAGGAGTCCTATTCACCCATGACTGTCTCATACACCAGAGGTGCCTACACCGTGAAACCTCTCCTAAATCACTAAGTCATGTGCCCTAGCATATTTTTATACCTCCAGGATAGTGCATGCCACAGCTTTATGGAGGCCAGTTCTGAATGAATCTGTCTGACATGGGTCAGGAGCTACTAACAGTTAGGAGGGTGAACTGCGCTTTTATTCATCTTCGTTGTTTGCCCCACTCACTGTTTCCACTTCAGAGACTGGGATGTGTGGGGCATATGCTGAATACCTAAACATTTTGCTAATTGGAAATGACATTTTCCTTTTTTTTTTTTTTCTTTTTGAGATGGAGTCTCACTCTTTCGCCAAGCTGGAGTGCAGTAGCTCTATCTCAGCTCACTGCAACCTCCGCCTCCCAGGTTCAAGCAATCGCTTGCCTCAGCTTCCTGAGTAGCTGGGATTACAGACATACACCACCACACCCAGCTAATTTTTGTGTTATTAGTAGAGACGGGATTTCACCATGTTGGCCAAGATGGTCTCGATCTCCTGACCTCGCGATCCACCCACTTCGGCCTCCCAAAGGCATTTTACTTTCAACAAATAGAATGTATTTGCTAAATAAATACAAAAGAAAATGGTATATTTTCTTAATTCCAAATTCTGTGTCAATGAGTATCTTGGTGAATTTCCAGAGATGAATGTGTTTTTGAAATCAGTTTCGTATTCTCTTCCTCAAGATCCCTAATGATCTTCCAAGTGTGTGTTTGACTGTATGGTCATGGCATTGCATGGGTGTCAATATTGGTTTCTACTGCCCACAGTTTCCCTGAAGATGTACTTTGGAAAATGTTTAAGAAAGTTGACTTGGCAAATGGAAAGTTGGAGGATATAGTAAATTGCATTATCATTCAAAAATATTTGCTGCTCTTCTCTGGGGGAGGATTAAACGTTCCCATTCTCCTGACATAACAGTTGGCGATGAGACTTGCTCTGGCCACAGAAATATGACGGGAAGTGTGTACAGCCCTTCTACCACAGAGGCCAACAGAGTTGCAAACAGAGGGAGCTAAGTGGATATATTGTTTATAAGAAAAATTTTTGTTACAAACTACAGAGATTTGGGGGCTATTTGTTACTGTAGCATAAGCCATCATGTTCTGACTGATACAGAGACTGTTCCATGTATGGTGGATTATAGTAAGATGTACTTGAAGCAAAGAGAAGCAAATAAGTGCTAAGAAAGGTCTGAGGTTGCCATGAAATTGCAAATTAAGAGCTAGTATTGAAGTTACTTCAGTAAAGATATTGAAGTTGCCATGGGATTTCAAGCTACAATTCAATAACGATGTTGAGCATTTTGTGTATTAAGCTCAACTAAAGATTCACATAGAGAAACTAAATACTCCTATTTTCATTCATTCAGCATTCAGAAGTATTTATTCAGAACCTACGATGGTTTTGACATTTACCTAGGCATTGTAGTATATAAAAAAAATACCTCACAAATTCTGCCCTGGGGACTGTACGGCTTATTAAGGAAGATCTCACCTTGGTAAATGTTTATAATTATAATAATATGAATAATGAGAAAAAAAATTCAAGAGGGTGATTACTTACATTTGGAAGGAGGAAAAAGAAAGGATTCATGGAAGATGGGGCTTTGACCAAGACCTTGAGGTGTGGATAAGGAAAGACACGTCTTCAAAACCGGGATGTGAGTCAGCAGAGGCAGGAAATAGAGACGAATATTTTGAGGCAGTGAGAACCTCTTTGACTGAAGAAATGTGATGCTTAAAGCAGAAACATGGTGGAAAATAAAACTGAAGTTAAATTGGGAAAAGATGGAGAAACTAAATTTCCTGGATGCGTGTTTTGATGTTTGTGGGAAGTAATGAGCCGTAGGAGATTTTGAGTGTGGCATGACAGTGAGCATCGTTTCCGTGTTTCCTGAATGTGCCCAAGTTGCACAAGGCCCAGAACTGGGAGGAGGCCCGCGAGGAGGGTCTGGCACCCGCGCGTGGTGCATCATGCCCATGATCCACATTTACAAGAAACGGAGTCTAAAAACAACAGAACTGTGTGAAATGTGTTATGAAAGGAAGCCTCATTCTACTGATGGTGTTGGAGAAACCGGTTTGCTGTTTGTGGAACCAAAATCCATGTATGTTTTCACCTCATGTCAAACACTGAAATAACTGCCACCCCTAAAAATAGATTTGCAGGTAGATCTGTATTGTGAACTTACCGAAGGCTAAACGCAAGTTTTAACAGTCACGAGGGAAAAAGTGAAATGGATAGATGTAATTGCATACAGAAAGTTAGGGATCTGTATGTCCTCCACTCAAAGCTGTTACAAGCTTTACAAACTGACAACTGGGAAAATGCTTGCAGAGAATACAAGCAAGGATTAGCATATAAAGTGTTTCAATGAAAAGGTAAAAGCCATCAGAGGAAAGAGAAATGAGAAAAATAAATGAGTAATCAGATAATTTATAAGATTAAATACAGAGAACAAACAAACATTTAGGAAGTATTCAATTTTTTAAAAAGTCGTTGAAAGCACAAGGTTTTCCCAAGGGATTTAGCAAAGCCCATTTATAAGAGATAATGTATGATATTGTCATATTTGCAAGGTGCACTAGGTACTTTTATTAATCTGCTGATAGTGGCAGTGGCATACCTTGGTGTGATACATTTGCAAAGTAATTTGACGATATTTATCAAAAGCTTTAAACCTTGGCCTACCAGTCCCTCCTTTGGCATATTCATCCTCAAGAAATAAGTCTCAATGTAGAAAAATAGCTCTGCACAAATATATCCTTAAGAGTACTATTTATAGTTTTATAAAAATTGAAAACACCTAAATCTACAGCATTCAGGAATTTATATTTATAGAGTCCTTGTGTCGATATTTGATGGATCATTAGGAAGAAACGAAAATTGTGTTTACAAATAATTTGTAGCAACTCTAAAAAATTGTATGCTATGATGACATGGGATATATGCATTTGATCAGAGCTGTGTATGAGAAATTCTACACAGACACACACAAAGACTGGAGGAAATTTCCGAGACTGTCAGCCTTGAAGAGCTGGGTATGTTTGGTGATTTCTTTTCTCTTTTATATAATCCTGGCTGCAAATGTGGTTGATGCTAAAGGTAGGAGGCCTGGAGATAAAATCGTTCATCTCCTGCATAATGGTAATAGTCATACGAGTGAATCAGACTGCCAAAGAGAATAATCTAGGGACAGACACAGAAAGGGACGTGGAATAAAGTCTGAAGAATGCATATACTTAGGGGCAGGAGGAGAATAGGAGCCTGCCAGGCTTGGAGTAGGAGGAGATCAGGAAAGGTGAGGCCTCTTGGAGTTTAGGGTGTGGGCGGCTTCAGAAAGAAGGCACCTGCCAGTGTCGGGGAGCAGTCGGAGGAGCTGATTAGAGAGGGTCATGGGGTTCTCACTGGCGGGCTCTCAGGCAGCTCCATCAGAATCCAGAAAACAAGGAGCGGGAGGATTGGAACTGAGAAAGTGGCCTGTTGAAACGAACAGGGGGAAACAAAGGCCACCCTTGCCTTGCTCTAAGAAAAACAAAATAGGCCAGGTGCAGTGGCTCGCACCTGTAATCCCAGAACTTTGAGAGGCCGAGGCAGGCGGATCACAAGGTCAGGAGTTCAAGACCAGCCTGGCCAATGTGGTGAAACCCTGTCTCTGCTAAAAATACCAAAAACAAACAAACAAACAACAACAACAAAAAAACTAGCTGGGCATGGTGGTGGGCACCCGTAGTCCCAGCTACTTGGGAGGCTGAGGCAGGAGAATCGCTTGAACCAGGGAGGTGGAGGTTTTAGTGAGCCGAGATCACGCCACTGCACTCCAGCCAGGGCGACAGAGCGAGACTCCATCTCAAAAAAACAAAAGGAAAGAAAAACGAAATAAGAGAGAAAAGGCAAATACAGTGCTGAATGTGGCAGGATATTTTCTCACTCTGTCCTGGTGGTGTGGTAGGATTCCAAAGTGTGTGGAGTGGAATGTTCACATCTGAGAATTAATACTGGGACTCGTGGACAGGAAAGCAGATGGGCGCTCCTCCGCGCTCTCGTTGACGCCTTTTCTGTGGCCGAAGCGGACGCCGTCAGTGTGCACAGCTGCTTTCTCCGGGACTGGACTTGCTTCTCTGCCTCTCTTGTTCTTAGGGTGCCCCTGGGCCAGCCCAGTCACTCTAGGGACCATGCCTCCAACATGTGTGTTCAGGGCTGAACTCCAGGTGGGCTGAAAGGACGACTGGTCAAAGCCTTTCTTGCCCAGTAAAGCCTTGAGCCACATCTCCCCTGTCTACAAGGAAGAAGTGAATAGTCATCCATTAAAGAATAAACAAGACATTTGGCGTTATTCTGGATTCTAAGCTAAAAACTTCTAAGTTTTTCCAGGTTCTCAACTGAGTATGTAGCCTCAGAAGAGCATCCTCATCACTATCTTATAAATAGACCAAAAAGCACCCCCCTCCTGATTCTTCTATAAATACCGCTAGCAGACAGAAGCAAACTGCTTGGTGGTGGACCACCCCTTCATTCACAGACTTTTCCATTGCATGTTGTTGACCTGTGGAAGTCAAAGCAAAGTCTTTAGTCTGCCGTGTCGTTCCTCTGGTGTAATATCCTTGTCTGTTTCCCGTAGGTGCCTATCCTCGACTGTCACTGAGCTTTCGGTTGAAGAGGAACATTGGATACTTCATTCTTCAGACGTACATGCCCTCTATACTGATAACAATTCTGTCGTGGGTGTCCTTCTGGATCAATTATGATGCATCTGCCGCTAGAGTCGCCCTCGGTATGTGCTATTTTTAAGTGATATTTAAATGTAAAGTAACCGTATCATTACAGGATTCAGACAGTTCAAAGGCTGTAGTTCAACTACCATTTTTTGACATCGTGACACAAGCGTTGCCCATATAGTCACTTTTTATCTTGAAACACTAATTTCACGCACGATTCCCTTGATGTGTTAATTTAATTATAAGGCTCAAATGTGAATTTTCATGCCCATGAAAGGGAAAATATGCTTGCAGAATATTTGCATGATAAAACTAGTTTTGACACTAATTTTAAAGCAAGGATTAACATCTCCTGTTCAAAATTATTCCATGGCCCAGAAAGAAGACTTGATTAATTGTGCATTCTTCTTTTATAAGTCAGAAAAATAGTCAAATATTACAGCATAGAATTGGAATTGCACAATGTAATGAGCACTAAAATGTAGAAATCAATTCTGAATGGTTCCCAAAGGCTCTGGTGATCTTTTCTGACCGTTGGTTATTTGACAACTGGATTATTAGCTGATGTACAATATGTACTATAGGTTCCAATATTATTTTTAGCATTTTGGTTATTAAGGGAAGGCTTGTATTTTCAGAAACATTATTCTCTACTCAGCTGATTAATATGAAACGGCATAGACAAAATAATTATTTAAATACATTTACATAAGTACAGAGCTGTTGGGCAATCTTCTGTCCATCCCTTTGGGTGGGGTTGAATTTATTTCCTGAAAGTGAAAGTCAATAGTACTTATAAAAATTGATGGAAAAGAATTATCAACGCATTATCTGGCAAAACGCCTTACAAAAAAACATAAGAATTCAGGGTTCCAGTTATCCCTTCTTTCCTGTTCTTTTTTTTTTTTTTGAGACAGGGTCTCACTCTGTCACCCAAGCTGGAGTGCAGTGGCACAATTATGATTACGGCTCACTGCAGCCTCAACCTCCTGAACTCAAGTGATCCTCTCAACTCTACCTCCTGGATACGGGGGACAACAGACACACACACCACCACACTTGGCTAATGTTTTAATTTTTTGTAGAGATGGAGTTTCGCCATGTCTCCCAGACTGGTCTTGAACTCTTGGCCTCAAGCCATCTGCCCACCTTAGCCTCCCAGAGTACTAGGATTATAGGCGTGAGCCACCACACCCAGCCCTTTTTCTGTTTACCAACTTTTCCCAGGACTTTTAAGTTGAATAACATGTTTTCTTTTCTAATAAAATGTGAGTACATGTGTGTATATGCATGACAAACATGTGACTTGCATAGTTGTAATCAAGGTTAGATTTATTTCCCAGGAAATAACACATAACTATGACTTGAGAAAATCAGGTAGCTCTTCCTAAGGGTGTTAAGTGGATTAAAAAACCACTCTATGAAGAGTAAAGCTGCAAAAAACTGAAAGTGCTGTTTTAATTGTTATGTATTTCTAATAGGTATCATAAACACCGTTCTCTTTAAAAAAAAAAAAAAAGTCTCCAGGACTTTCTACAGCCTGCAGATCTTCCCCAGTCATGTCAGTCTTTATGTAGCTCTTACTTTAAAAATACATGTATGTTTTACTAGATTACTCTTTGTTAAACTCTTTTCTCTTTTCACTTGGAAAATTCAGAGATACAATACATGTGTAGGGGCAGATCTAAATTATGCAGAGCTGTTAGCGTATACAATTTCAAGCACCCCCTTTTAAGAAAAATAATATGAAATATACAAATGCAAAGTTGCTGGGACCCCTCCGCAAGCCTAGAAAAGGCCTATGAAAGTGGAGACCGAGCTGAAGCTGACATTTCACTGCTTTGCCGTGAATCTGCTGCAGAGAATTTGCCAGTCACTGCGATAATTAGTGAAATATGAGTACCAAGGAGCCATGATTATCTGACATCACAAGGGGTGGGGTGTACTGAAAATGTGCATATGTGAATTTCCTAGCCATCACAGATTCTGTCCCACCCTAATTGTAAAGTGTTGCCTTCTACGGTGTTAAACTGTTATTACCCCGAAAGTGAGTTCCATTTAACCCAGTTTCATTAAGGTATATGAAAGTAGATTCCACACTTTTTCTTCATGACACAGCATTTTTAATATAAACCAGTCGGGCCTCTGTGGCTTTGCTGGGATGAAGGCATGGGCTGGCTAGGGTTGCTGAGGCTTCAACATTGGAGGATTGACACTTGTGCTCTGGGAGGCAGGCATGAGAGCCAGAGTGAAGGGGATATTCATTAGAGTTAGCGTGACCCCGAGGTCAAGAGGGCAGCTGTGATCTTAGGGCTGTGGGTCTGGCCAGACAAGAACCCAACAAATCCAGCTCTCAGAGTATGACACCTGCACATGCATTCCCTCTGTCCCTTCTGCCAATACAAGACTTGAGTCCAGATCTGCAGTCACTGGGAAACGTCAGTTGGCGAATTCAGACAATTATGACGCAGTGTCAGGAGCACTGAATGACGTCATCATCATCAATACCACAGCCAGGATAATAAAGGCTGAAAATTATCACATAGTTGGGCGCCACTTTCTCTGCTAAGGCCATTCACGTAGTCATCTGTCCTGGAGAAGATTCCAGCAGGGTACAGAGGATTATCGCCCCAGTTTTACAGAGCACGAAAATGAGATGCAGAGAAGCTCAGTAGCTGGTACGAAGTCATGTAATTACCAAGTTTCAGAAGAAAGATTTCAATCCAGTTAGTCTAACTTCCAGACCTTCTCCCTTAACTACTACATATAATTCCTAAAGTGTCAATAAAACTGCAGTAAAGAGTTACTTGGTCTACTATGTTATAAAAGCCATGGATTTTTTTAAGAAAAGAAGAAAGCTAACCAAATATTATGAACTCTTATTATTGAGGAAACCCTCATAACTGTTAAGATGCTACCGAGCTCCATAGGATACAGCTGTAGTTTGGAGAGCTTTCACTGGAGAAATCCCCCTTCTTGCCACCCCTTCCCAAGCACCTCATCTTGTAGCACAGCTTTGAAATGCTCACAGTGCTTTTTGCATTCATCCGAAGGGGCTGCACTGTGATCAATACGCATGGCTTCTAAATGCATGATAAAGGTGCAGCCTCTGCACAGACAGGGTGGGCGGGGCTCAGCAGAGGCCTCTGTGGAGGGCTCACCCTTGGGCTGTGGGCACTATTGGACCTGGACTCAACGCGGGAGGGACTCAGGGCCTGTTCCGCTGGCTCTTCCGACAGCCGTGCTCCTCGGCTGCTCTGTGGGCTTCAGTATGATATGCTTCTGCTGCCCAGGGTCTGACCGTCAGATACGTTGAACTGTTTGCGTTAACGACCACCAAACTTTAAAGTGGGAAGTTGTCATTAGATGGCCTCCCTCAAAACCCTTGGTGAATACTGGTTGGTGTCCCTTATCCAAAATGCCTGGTACCAGAAGTGTTTTGAAAATCAGATTTTTTTCTAATTTTGGAGTATCTGCATTATACTTAGAGTTTGAGCATCTCTAATCCAAAAATTCAAAATCTGAAATGCTCCAATTAGCATTTCCTTTGAGCATCATGCAAGCACTCAAAACGGTCCAGATTTTGGAACATTTCAGATTTTGGATTTTTAGGTGAGGGATGCTCAATCTGCAAAAGTACTGGTACTTCTAAAGGTAAAAATGTATACTGATAAAATTTAGGCCAGATTATTTTTTTCATGAGGAGGAGAAACAAAATATTGTGATTAAACAATGCAAAGAAATTATATTTTATTTCGTATTCATTTTTATAAATACAACTTTCGAATACAATATTTCATACACAATCTAAATGACAAATAAATTGAGGCTGGCAATTTATAGAAAGACTTACAAGCCTAGTGAATGTACAAAACAACATGAAAGCCACCACCCAGCCATTTTCTGTACCGCAGCTGGATGATTTGCCTTTAGAGAGCAGAAGGTCAAGGCAAGGCCAGGAAACCCAGAGACTACCGAAGAATGATGTTTCTGTAATGATGATACTCATATGATTATTTGTTGTTAGTGTTAACAGTGCCAGTTACTATTTACTGGCACATCAGAGCTTTTCAGACATTGCCATCAGATTTCCAGCAGCTCCAAATGATGGCTACAGACCCACAGAGGCCGAGCAGGGCTTTGGGTGTGGGCCGTGTGGCTCCCCTTTACAGGCTGTGTACCACCACAATACACCACCATCCACGGTCTCCTACATAGGAGGTAAAGCAACAGAAGGAGTTAGTAAATGTGTTGGCCTCTTAAGCTAAGAACTCATGTGGCCTGTGGGTCCAAACTAGAAAGGCCCGAGCAGTCACTGCGAATCTTTTTGTCAGGGATTCCTGAGCCTGTGCTGATGGGCCTGGGTCCGGGGTCCTAGCCCAGGTCCCTCTGGGGCTCATTTACCAGGCTGAGTACCTGTGGGATGTGCTGGCTGCACCTATTCCTGTGTGCTTTCAGCCCATTGTCTGGGACATCTGCTGAGGCCTGTGTCATACATGTCCATTCAAAATAGCCAGCAGGAAAGCCGTGACTAAAGCAAAGTGCTCAGTCTTCCCAAATCCACGTTGAAGGGGGAACCACGGTAGCGGCAACAACATTACAAACTTTTTGAATAATGGTGAGAATGCCTAATTTTGTAGCATTTGCACAGTGTTTTCACATTTATTTGTAAACAGTAATTATCCCATTGCCATTTTCAATTTTAAAAAGTCCCCAGGTGCACATGAATGTGATGTTAAAAGAGAATCTTAAAATACTCTGACATCTTGGATTTCGGTACATTCCATCAGCAACCATGGTTTGCAGTTCTATGTAAAAAGAGCTCCTCAACTCTTCAGTTCTCTTCTTAGCTTTTAGTAGCAGTTCAGAGCTCAGTGGAGGGAGCGCTTGTGTTGGAGATGGAAGACTGGGCTATCTAGCCTGCTCTCCAGCTCATTCCCAGGCCAGCTGAGCTCTGCAGTCTCGAGTTTCTCCCTGTGGGCCTCGAGATGCTGCCTCCTAGGATAGGATGGGAAATCAGAGGGGGATGAAATTGGAATGCTTAGTAAATTCAAACCCTGCCCTGGAGGGCTGGGCTGGGACCATGTACAGAATGGCCTGGGCTGCATCCCACAGTACATATCCTGCAGTGCGGAACTGTAGGGCTGGCACTACTTCTTGGCCTCAGTGATGTCATGTAGGTTTTGGGTGACTGAGGATGAAGGATTATGGTTAGAGTGTCTCCTTTTAAAGTCTCGTTTTTGAGGAAAGCCTGAGAAAGCAATGCAGAGAAACCTGTTCACTTTATTGGGTCCTGAAAGCCACATCTTCACATTCAGTGGCATCAGTTGCATGGGTAGAAAAGAGCTCAGCCCTCAAAGCTGTCTTGCATCCTTGAGACGTATTAATATTTCAAAAATACAGTCTCCAAGACAGCGTGTCAGCTGCAGTACTAACATCCCACCCTACCGCATGGGAGTGATCTGTGCCTTTCCTGTGAGCGCAGCTTAGCTTAACTCAACAAGCTCTGGGCACGTCACTCACTTGCCTCCCGGTGTCTGTGGCCTCGGATGATTCAGTGTGGAATCTTGTCTATTGCTATAGGAGGGAGAATTGCACAATATGGTCCTTACATGGTTCTAGACTACATTGAGCTCTGTTTGGGAAACAATGAGATCATTCATACAATACTATGTAAAGAGTTCAACGTAACGACTTTTAAAAAAAGGATCTGACGAGTTGCCCCGGAGTATGGTGAGATTCTATAAGATGAATGAAATCACTAACCCTTAACTTGAGCAAACATTTCCTAAGCAGCTTCTGTACAGATTCTTTCTTAGTTGAGGAGGGAAGTTGCTCTGTGAGATCATCTTCCCTGAGAAGAATAGCTCAGCTATTTCTTTCTCTTTGAGCTCAGGGCTGGATCTCATGGCTAATAATTTTAAAAATCATTGCCTCATTCCTCTCGCTTCCAATATTGTAGTAGGAATTATTTTCTTCTCACAGGCTGTCTCACTGAGCTCTCGCTCATAGCCTTGCCTCTGCAGCCACGGACCCCTCAAATTCATTCTTTTTCCTGGAGGTTTCTCATCATTTATGCTAAATTCTGGATTTCTTTTTATTTTTTCCAGCATTCATAAAAACCACATTCTTTTTTTCTGCTCTCCATATCTCTTCTTCTGCTCTCAAAATTCCATCCTGTGTGATAGCAAGGTGCAGTGGGCAGGGGCTGGGTGGGGGAGGGAGATGCCCTGCACAGCTTCACTTCCCCAGAGTACAGATGTCAGCTCGCTGTTCTGAGCGGCGACGCGTGGCCCCGATGACACGATGTATGCTCTGTTGCATTCCAGTCACCCCGCCGTATTCGGCCCATCATCTCCGACTACTTAAAGCTATTCGAGAAAACGTAAAAGAACAGTGAACAGTGAAGACCAGTGTGGCAAAGCTGCAGCCTCTCACCACGTTGTTTCTTTTCTAGGGATCACAACTGTGCTGACAATGACAACCATCAACACCCACCTTCGGGAGACCTTGCCCAAAATCCCCTACGTCAAAGCCATCGACATGTACCTTATGGGCTGCTTCGTCTTTGTGTTCCTGGCCCTTCTGGAGTATGCCTTTGTCAACTACATCTTCTTTGGAAGAGGCCCTCAAAGGCAGAAGAAGCTTGCGGAAAAGACAGCCAAGGCAAAGAATGACCGTTCAAAGAGCGAAAGCAACCGGGTAGGCTCTCCACCGCCTTGACCCCACCTGGGCCCTGCAGCTCAGCAGCTACTGCATTTACTTGCATGATCTTTCCTTGTTTTTTCCCCAGTAGTGTATGTCAAGCCACACACCCTTCTCGTACATGTGATATAGTCCTTATGACATGGTGCCCAGCTGTTTTTTATTCAGACCAGTCCAGTGGAGTTCTGGCCATCTAGCTAGGACTGGCCAGAGTTGACTGAAACCAGTGGATGTAGGCTTACACACAAAGAACCATTGGCCTGGCCAACGAAATTCACTTTTGGTGTTTCCGTGCACATTGACCCTGGTCCAGTTGCTTTTTGCCCAGGTAATGCATTCCCCAACGGTCGCTTCCATTATTCCAGTCTACCCTCAGGGCACAGACCTAGGCCTTCTTCCTCTCACCAATAAGCCCCTTAAAACAGCAACTATCTGGATGGACAGCCTATTGAGAAGTGGAGCTCATTCTTGAATTTGGGTGAGGGCATTTGAACTGGGGCTGGTTAATCTCTGGCCTGGTGTTGAACACAAGGGAGAGGATCAACATGGAGCTGGCAGTGAAAGACTCCCTTGCCCTTTCTGAATTCTCCACTTACAGAAGTAACAGGGCGCCATAGTTTTTCAATATACTTGCATGAGCTTTGAGTAGGACTTGGGCAGACTTGATGATCATAATCTGAAATATTTCCTCGTGCAAGTTACCGGGTTTCCTATAAAACCAACATTAGTGTTGATGCTGGAGAAGCCAAAATCAAGAGAACAAAACCTGTGGGTCTGGAATGAATGAAACGCTGGGGTGGAGTGTGTGAATCTGATCTGTAGAAGCGTTTTTCCAAAATGTTTCAATATTCCTTTAGTTGTAAAATTACCAGTTTGAGGATCCAGCGTGCTGCCATTCTTTGCACTGGAGTAGGCATACAGTCTCTTGTCCACCTGCCCACTGGCCACTGTCCTCTAGGGAAAAAGCAAAGTTCAAAAGGAACGAACAAGACGGGCAGTGCTGTCTCTGGAAGCTCTCATAGATCTGCCATGGCCCTGGCCCCTCGCAGTTGTGTTCTGCAAAAAGCCAGGGTTGGGCAGACCTAGGCACTTTGTTTTAGGAAGTCCATGGACTTTCTAAAGCCCTCGCACACCCTCCTCCAGCCCAGCTCAACTCAGCAATGCTCTTACATCCTTCCAACCACAAAGCCACTTGATCTTTAGATGTCATTTCAGCTTATATAAAAGCGGTATGTTATTGTGATTATAAACAACATTTGAATGAAAGCACATTATAGTTCCAATATAATTTTTAAAATGTATCCTTCCACCTCTTCTATCCCCTCAGATCCTCAAGGATATATTTCTACCTGTTTACATATTGGGTTTCTTACCACATTTTTTTTTTAATTCTTCTTGTTAAACATACTGTTAGGCCATTCTTGTGTTGCTCTAAAGGAATACCTGAGAGTGGCAAATTTACAAAGAAAACAGGTTTAATTGGTTCACGGTTCTGCAGGTTTTACAGGAAGTGTGGCAATAATGTCTGCTCGGTTTCTGAGGTGGTTTCAGGAAGCTCACAATCATGGTGGAAGTCAAAGCGGGAGCTGCAGGCACGTTACATGGCAAAAGTAGGAACAAGGAGGAGGGGAAGATACCGCATACTTTTAAACAGCCAGATCATCTCATGAGAAGTCACTCACTATCATAGACAGCACCAAAGGGATGGTGCTAAACAATTCATGAGGAAACTGTGTCAAATTGTTGGAGGTGGGGCCTGGTGGGAGATGATTGGATCACGAGGGCGGTTTCTCACGAATGGTTTAATACCACACCACCCCGCTTGGTGCTGTCCTCGTGAGATGTGTCTGCTCCCCCCTTACCTTCCGCCATGATTATAAGTTTCCTGGGGCTTCCCCAGAAGCCGAGAGGTGCCAGCACCATGCTTCCTGTACAGCTTGCAGAACTGTAAGCCAATTAAACCTCTTACCTCTTTCTTTATGAATTACCCAGTCTCTGGTATTTCCTTTTTTCTTTTTCTTTTTCTTTTTTTTTTTGAGATGGAGTTTCGCTCTTGTTGCCCAGGCTGGAGTGTGATGGTGTGATCTTGACTCACTGCAGCTTCCGCCTCCCAGGTTCAAGTGATTCTCCTGCCTCAGCCTCCTGAGTAGCTGGAGTTACAGGCATGTAACACCACGCCCGGCTAATTTTGTATTTTTAGTAGAGACGGGGTTTCTCCATGTTGGCCAGGTTGGTCTTGAACTCCTGACCTCAGATGATCCACCTGCCTTGGCCTCCCAAAGTGCTTTGATTACAGGTATGAGCCACCACACCCAGCTCAGTCTCAAGTATTTCTTTATAGCAATGGGAGAATGGCCTAATACACCTTCCACCAAGCCCCACCTCCAATAGTGGGGATTACAGTTCAACATGAGATTCGGGCAGGGACACAGATCCAAACCATATCACATACGTATTTCTCTAGCCTGTGGAGGTTTTGTTCCTCTATCCTGTGCCCTCCATGCCTTTATGGGTCCACACCTCCCAGCGAACACAGTAGCTCCTTGGAGGACTGTCTGTGCCCGTACGAGGCCCACGAACATTCATGAACCCATGGAAGCACATTAAGTGAATGTCAATGGCTCCTTCCTTTCAGCACAGCATAAATAGAGTTGGTCAGAAAACTGAAGATCTGTGAATAAAACGAGGTTTTTCACAGACAAAACTATCTTAAATTTCTTAGTGGAAAATATACTTAGTATCATACTGTTATATTTCCAAATAGGTCCAATCCTACTAGGAACACACAGTACGCTTTGGTCATGCTGTTTCCAAGGAAACTAGAATTCATCACATCATTATTGTTTCCATCACAGAGGCACACGTATCCACACATACACATACAACGAATGCTGTCTTTCCAAATTTCCTCTTAATTTAAACAGATCATAAATTTTTTCTTCTAAATGAGACTGTTTAAAACAGTCAAATTGTGGTGCTGCAGAAATACCTTTCTGGGTACAAGGCTTAAAATCTAAGATAAAAACAAAAAGACAAAAAAACTCGAGCATCCGTAGAGAAAATGAGCGGGATATAGAAAAAGTGTATTATAAATTAAATGCAGAAGAAATTCTTAGTTGATTCATGAGTCTGTGTTTATTGTTTGGTTTTTCAAAAATCTGTTTCTGTGTTTTCTCAACAATCTTAGGAAGGCCTTTATATATTCATATGTTTAAGAATCTGTAATTATAGATCGTACTTAAGGTTTGAAGTCAACATATGATTATGTGTATGCTAATTCTAAATGCATATTTGATGCTCCTAAAGATAAGCATTAAAAAATTGTTCCTGAGCACACCTAAGTCTTTAGTGATAATTTTTAAATAGAAATGTACCTCCCAAAAAGTTTATATCAAGTAATGTGGATGAATGAAAGGAACATGAGAAAAGAATCAAATTTTATGTGAAACAGAAGTGGTACTATATACACAACCTAACAGCTTACGTAGTCCTTTGTTTCTTTTTTTAACTATTATTTTAGCTTCAAGGGTACATGTGCAGGTTTGTTATATGGCTAAAGTACATGTCACAGGGTTTGTTGTACAGATTATTTCCTCACCCAGGTAATGAGCATAGTGCCCAAAAGGTATGTTTTTCATCCTCTTCCTCCTCTCACCCTTCACACCTAAGTGGGCCCTGGTGTCTGCTGTTTTCCTTCTTTTCATCCATGCATACTCGGTGTTTAGCTCCCACTTGTCAGTGAGAGTGTGCAGTATTTGTGTTTCTGTTCCTGTGTTAGTTACCTTAGGATAATGTCCTCCGGCTCCATACATGTTGTTGCAGAGGACGTGATCTTCTTTTTATGGCTGCATAGTATTCCATGGTATATATGTACCCCACTTTCTTTATCTGGTCCACTGCTGATGGGCATTTAGATTGATTCTCTGTCTTTACTATTGTGAATAGTGCTGTGACGTGTCAGGGATAGCACCTGGGATTGCATCTCAGTGTGGCCAGCAACACCCTGCAGCTTTCCCCTGACTGACAGCTGCTGGCTCCACAGCAGGGATTTGGCTTGTCACCGTCTTTCCTGAGACCACTTTCTGTGTCCTGTAAGGCATCTCAAGAGAAAACAGTACCCTATGGACACTGTAGGCCACCAGCAACTGCCTGTTGATACTGTGGTTTTAGTGACCCTACTGTAAAACCATGAGTAGATTTTCCTTATATTTAGTATTTATGCCATATTTTAGCTTAGTAGTTGATTCATGAATACTTAAGACATTCGCATATTCACTTAGTATCTCCCCAGACTAGTGGTACCATGTAAGCGTTGACCTTCACTTGCCTGTGCATACCGTCTGTTCCTGAGTTGTTTCTATACCCAAGAGTTCATCTTTGGTTGTAATTCATGCATTATGGTTACAAGCCTTGTGATATTTTACAAGTTGACCAATTAGTATTTGAATTTCATGAGGTGGTAGAGAGTCATAATTCTTGGCAAGGAATCAGAGCTGCAGACTCAACATCATTCTTATTAAAGAGCAAGATTTCATTCTTCCTGTGGCAAGTCCTTTCTCATTCCTCTAAAACGACAGTATTTTACTTAACTAGAAGCTGGAAGAAAATTAGAGAATGAGATATCAACTGTGTGCCAATCTGGTGACATATTTTAGGAAAAAACAAAAAATCTCTCTGTGCTATATTCTGAATGAGATGTTTTTAGTCTTTGAATGTTTGCACCTGTCAAGGTTATAGAGCAGGAAGAAAAACTTCATTGAAATCAATGGTTCTAATTATAGTAGAGATGAGATGAACCCTTCAAAATAAAGAGTATTCATGAAATGATTTAAAAATTGCAAGTCATCTGTCATTCTATGAAGGGCATTTCAGCCTTGTATTTCACCCACAATCGCTTCTTTCTACTTTAAGGCTTAAATTCTAGATAATAGAAAAAGACTTTCTCTTTTGGAAATATTTGTTTATTTGGCTCCTAAGATTTAACAGATTTTTAATAA